CCCTCCACCTTTATGACCTAAATTCTCAGGTTAAACCTGTCATATGATTAGTGAACAGGCCCTGACAAAGACAACCATTTCAGGTCTAAATACAAGTCAAGCTCAATCCAGTACTATGCATTTTTAGAGGCACTACCTGAGCCTCTGAGGGAAGGGGTGGAAGGAAGGAGAAGAAACGGCCAACCAGTTACTTCCTTCCCCATTCTTCCTCTTTCCTTCAGGAGGCACCCTTGCTCAAATTCTCCCATGCAGGAGACTACCATTGTTCTCGGCTCTTTTCCTCCCTTATGTAAAGAAAAACATTTCAAAGCTGCTTCCAACCCCAACTGTCAGTCTGAGGGACACCGTGGGTAGAGGGATCCATGTGCAACTGTCATGTTTGCACACCTCTGGGGCTGGCTCTATTCCTCAAGAAGCAAGAGTTACACCATACAACCACCTGTTACCTGGGGGAGTAAAGAAAACTGCTCAGGAGGTCCAGAGCAGGGCAAAAGTCAATATGGAAACATACATAATGCTCCATGTAATGCATGGTTAACATAGTTCCTTACTCTCTTAAGTATATGGAAGAGTTACGAACACATTTAAAAAGGTGAAGAGCAGAGCAACCAGGCTTTAGATCAGCCAGGGTGTTGGTAGTTACAACTCTAGAGAGTCAGTCATCATGCCCACTGCGTTCTTCAATCTTTTTCATTCATACTCTGCATTACTTTCCATTGCCCAGAAATATGTAAGGTAGGTACAAATAGCCTCCAAAATAAAGAAGTAATTCATTGCACAAAATGTAGCCTATGAGAACCAATTAAAATGATGAAAATCTTTAATTTTATTTAAGTATAATTGTATGGACATGTGTATATACAAATACAGATTTTATGGGGCGGGGATTTTGGGTGGTGGTATTTTTTCTTGTTGGGGTTTTTTTTACATTTTCTTTTAAGTTCATATAATGCAAGCATTTCAAAAACAGGACTCAATGAGTAAGTGCAAAGAAACTGCAAAGCAGGGCAGTACAAGCACAGGACCACACTGAGCTGGACTTTCATACCCAGATGCATACACAATGAGTGATTTCAATGGGGTGTCAAGAGTAAGCATGGAAAGTGGATTTCGCAGACTCATGGGTACCTTCCAACATGCCAGCACCTATTAAACCATACAGACAATGGCAGCAAGCCTATTGTGGGGAGATTTGTCTCACATTCGAGAAGCTCAAGGGCGAATGCATGGGAAAAACTCAGTGATGCCAGATCAGAAACAGATCTGCCCATTCACAGCTCTAACTTAAAAAAGGAGGAGGGTGGGAGAGGAGGAAGGGCAGGAAGAGGAAAGAGAAGTGTGGAGGGTTGTACATTAAAACTGGTGATTACAAAACCCAAGTGTAATGAAAGGAGG